GGGGGGGGGGGGAGATCAGAGAGAGAAATGGCTAAAGCCTTTTGACCTACAAGGGACAATGTACCCTTTTAGGACAAAAGTTATATAGGAGCTAAAAGGAAAGTTACAGAAATAAGAAGATTCTATTCATAGACATTTTGTGGGATTGTGCAGCCTAATGTGTAACCCTCTTGGCTCTCCACCCACTTCCTGTAACTTCAGCAGTGTCGTTTCAGGTCTGTGGTTAAACAGTTGCAATAAAACCGCCGACCTGATGATTGTTTACTTCAGTTAGAAGCGGGAATTAGATTAAAAAAAACCTGTTGTTGAGCCAGCCATAGATTATGAATTTGTGGATTCGAGTTCCACAATATAAACATTGATTATAGAAAAGGCTGCATAGCGAGGACTTTGTGTGCTGCCTGTGGGGCAGAAAGGCAACAGATGAACTGCCCCAGGGAAGTGACCTAGCATGAAAATTAAAGTGACAAGAATGTACTTTTTAAAGCAGAGTTGACACGAGTTATATACAGGTGAAACTCGAATAATTAGAATATCGTGCAAAGTTCATTTATTTCACTAATTCAACTTAAAAGGTGAAACTAATATATGAGAGAGACTCATTACATGCAAAGCAAGATAAAAGCCGTGATTTGTCATAATTGTGATGATTATGGCTTACAGCTCATGAAAACCCCAAATCCACAACCTCAAAAAATTAGAATATTACATGCAATCAATAAAACAAGGATTGTACATAGAACAATATCGGACCTCTGAAAAGTACAAGCATGCATATGTACTCAGTACTTGGTTTGGGCCCCTTTTGCAGCACTTACTGCAATTACTTTTGCACGATATTCTAATTATTCGAGTTTCACCTGTACATTCCTGCACTATTTTTTTTACCATGAATGCAGATTGGCAGATTTTAGACTCATTTCACAATTGTATGTGTGCATCTGTGAACTTTTTTTTTTACTATGCTGTTTGTATGAATTTTTTGATTATTTGCCTATTTTCAACTGTGTTATGAATGCATATTCATTAAGGGGCATTTATCAAAACTGAAGCAGACACACTCTGGAGCAGCTGTGCATGGCAACCAATCAGCCTACACCTTTTCATTTTCAAAGATTAACTGAAGAGAGAAACTGATTGGTTGCCACAGGGAACTGCTCCAGATTTTGAGCTGTCAAATCTGATTTCCTGACCACGTACCACTGTTGATGTACTCCTGACTGGTGTAACCTCTACTGCCATAGTATTAGTGGCCTCTTGGTCTGAAACCAGCTGCTTCTGTGATGGTGTTGTGCTACATAATAGAATATATAAAGGTGCAAAAAATGCAGCGAACTTGACTGTAAACATTTTGGCTTTTGCATAGAAAATTGAATCGGATTCGGAAGAAGGCAGACCGATGAGAACTCGAAGGTCCACAAGGGTTTTAGGCAAAAATAACACGTCTCTGAAAGTAGCTCTCAAATTCCCAACCAGAAAGGGTCCTGGAAGAAACCCCCCAAAGGAAGGACCGAAGAAGAAAGTAAAGACTGAAGAGTCTGATGACTCTGACACAGAGGGTGGGGCCAGTTTCTTGGAGAAGAGGGCATTGAACATTAAACAGAACAAAGAAATGGTAAGTGGCTTTAAGGATGTGTTCATGTTCCTAATGTTTTGATACGCAACAAACCTGTTCTTAATGCAGCCTGGAAAAAAGATCTCGGCCATGTTCATAGTCTTCTAGGAGAGGTGGCTGTATCACTGTGTATAAAAATGCAGGATATATGCGGGGGAGGGGGGGATTGGTAATGTAAAAGGTCAATATAAGTTTAAAAATTGCACTGGTTGGTTGAATCAGCAAGCTTCACCTAAAAACCTGCCTGTGTTGTGTGGACTTGCATGTGAAATAAAATAAAATCCTTCACTTGCAGTATATTTTAGTCTTTTATATGATCTTGCAACACATTTATAGTAAACATTCCTTTATCATATTGAGATTGCATAGGTGCAGCATATATCCAGTTTCATTGCATATGTCACCTATGTGAGCTGATGCATATTTCTTTTTTTTTCTTGTACTTCTCCTTATGAAAATATAGGGTTTTTTTTCTGTTCTTGTATCATCATAAAAGCACATTTCTTTTCTGGTCATTTTAGCTTGCAAAGTTGATGGCGGAGTTGAAGAGCATACCTGAATTTATGACCTGCAAAAGCCCATTCTCTCCTTTGACTCCTGTAAGTAACTAGTTATATTGGTGACAATGGATTCCTTTAGTAGTCTTGAAGCGGTGGTTGGGGGGTTGACTGTTGTATCGGTTGATTAGGGAGATGGGAGCTGGGAAAACGTGTTACACTTCATTTACTGGTGAACTTTATTTGCACTTTGGCAGTCACATTTCTTTGGCCAGATGCGAGCTACTTTGAGCAATTTCCTAGTGAAAGCGGAGGGACAAAGCAGGGACAGACTTGAGTTTTGCTCAATTAACCTACAATGCAGAACCCGAGCCTCATGATTTTCAACCCTTTGCTAAGAGTTTAAATCTAGTTTACATCTGATGAGATCTGCCAGCACAGTACAGACAGGGTTTATTATGGTGGACAATAACTCCCCAGCCTCCTCATTACCATTACAAAGCAAGGGGGACTTCAGTTTTTCAGAAAGGAACAAGTAAAATGTAAGCAGCAATTTTTAAAATATTTTTAGAATAGTTCAGCTATGGAAGCTCGAGCATTTAAAAAATATAAAGTAGGTGTTATCACAATTTGACAGCAAAAGTAGAAATACACTTTTAATGTTAAATGGCCAGAGGGGTCTGTTTTTGAATTGAAATTCATTAAATTCCCACCCCATCCTTGGTGGTAAAGCTGTTGATGGGTTTTCAAAGTAGTCAATTGCTTGAAGGAAACCTGTATGGAGGCTGCCACTGTTGACCTCCTTTAAACATTAAAGCAAACTGTTGGTTTAAATTTACTAAATATATTCCAGGTGCATTGAAACAAAACGTCTGTAAGTCTTATAGATGTCTTTAAAAATCAGCAACAGCCTAAGTAGAAAAGCATCCTGCAGAGCGGGACCCTTGTTCTCAGTGTGGAAGAAGTGGTCTCCTTGCAGAGGCCCTGCTGAGTGAGTCAAGGTTCTCCAGAGGGGGAGCATGCGCTTTGCTGATTGCAGAGCTATAGGTCTGACTCGGCAGAGGGCGTGTTGGATCTCTGCAGTAAGACCACTGCTCCCCCCACAAATAAACAAGGGTCTTGCACTGCAGCTCCTGGCAGGGGACAGGCTTTTCTACTCTGGCTGTGGCTGCTTTAGAAAGAAAAACTGTATGAGTTTGCACACCTTTTTTGTTTTGATGCACTTGGAGTGTATTTAGCTGATTTACAGTCGCTGTTGACGGGATTTTTATTCTTTGCTTCGAGAAGGTTTTGCGTTCCCATACAAGTCTGACAATGCAACCCCCCCACCTTTTGAAGGAGGCCAAATGTACGTTGTCAGAAGCTTTTTCAAACTGATGTCGTTGACACGGGCCATTAAGGCTCAGTTGGTCTTTAATTCTCTAAATACAAGTGAGACATTTAGGCCCCATTAACAGTGTGCGTTTTCCGAGCGATATCGCGCATTTTTGCCGCGCAATATCGCTCTCCAATGCATGTTAATGGAGCTGTCGTGCGTCGCCTGTGCAGGACTCTTTTTTGACGCGGATGCCGCGCGATTGTACTCAGCCCATTGCAAACATTTGCGCGATATCGCATAATGCATGACTTGCATGTTAATACCCAGATTCATTAAAAACTGGTATTTTAATTTGTTAATCAATGTGAGCGCTGTATCCTTTTGTTACCTTGGTATGGGCAATGTGATTACTTTAATAAGGTGTATTGACTGGTTTGTGTGTAATTTTCTATTGTAGAAAGTTAAGAGAACACCTAGAAGTGTACAGTCGGCTGGACAGGCAAGGAGGAACCCAGAAAGAGCTTCTCGTCCCCACACCCGGTCCCGATCTCAGACTGATGGCCCCCCTAGCCCTGGTCTTGATGAGGAGGAGGAAGAGGATGATCAATACTACTTGGTTAGGAAGAGAAAGATGGAAGATGACTATGATGTACGTTCTTTGTACTTGATTGGTTGATATCAATGCACTGGAGCCACTGAGCAATTACCATTTATTATGACCAGCAGAACCTGAGCTCAAATATGTCTGGCCCATGTTAAATGTGTGTCTTGCTTTGGTCATATGTTTGAAATATCTCAGGTCTGTGTGTTGGTTTTTGTACCCCACCCCAAATTCTTGAAAAAAAAAAAAAAAAGTAAGATGTACAAATAGCAGGGCTCTCGGCCTATCCACACTTGTGGTATAACTATAAAGACCAAATCATTTCCAGTGTGCAGACATACACGGTCCAATAGCACAGGTTCACATAGAACAGAATCGGCAAATGCCACACTGCACGAGGCTTGCTTGTTTTTGAAAATTCAAGCTGCCTTTTCTGTTATCCTTTCTTTCACTACTTCAGGAGTCAATGACCTGAAACAAGTGCATGTATATCGGGTGTCCTGTGTTAGCAGTGGTAGCTCCCATGTTTATCTTGACTTGTTTGTGATTGTATGACATCAAGCAGCCTTTTAACAAAAAAAACACTTCATGAGGTTGTATCACATTATTGATTTTCAGGATGAAAGTTATGTCCCTCGGGTCCGCCGGCAAAGTTCCTTGACTCTGCCCCACATTATCAGGCCAGTGGAAGACATCACAGAAGAGGAGCTGGATGCCATATGTCTCAGTGCACGAGGCAAGGTCTACAATAGGGCAACTGTAAGTATTTTGGTAGGCCACAGTTTCACAGTAGATACCACAAGTATTGTGCGAGGAGAGCAGTATAGCTATAGGCAATCATATTTGAGATGCAACATTATTGCAACTAGGGATGCACTGATATAATGGCCGCCGAAACATATCGGCCGAAAATGGCGCTTTTGGCTAAATGCTGAAAGTGCCTTTTTTGTGCCGATACAGCGGCGCATCCCTCCTTTCTTTCCTGCTTGCTGGGCGCTGCTCTGTGTGACAGCCGAGCGCTGCGGGAGGAGTGCGCGCTGTGTGCGGCCAGTGTCTCTCCTCCCAGACCGCTCAGCCTTCTGTCACAGTCCGGCAGAGCGCTGTGTGGGACGGAGGCAGCCCGCGCTGTCGCAGGAGGCTGAGCTCTCCTCCCGCACCGCTCGATCAGCCTCAAGTGACAGCTGTCAGGAAGGAGAGCGAGTACAAGCAATCAGTGATCGCTGAGTGTTTGTAAATTGAGGACATAGTATGTTGACTGTATCCTCAATAATGAATGGGAAGTGATCTACATCACCTCCTGTTCATTCATAGTTGTAGTTATAGTAAACATACTCCGTTCTCATGTTATGAATGAACAGAAACACTCAGTATAGAGGATTCCTGTTCATTGATTAAAAATATTTAATAAAAAATTATTAAAATTTTATAAAAATTAAATATTTGAAAGAATTAAAATATAAAAAACATTTTCGGTTTCGGCCTGACTTTTTTTATTTTATTTTAGTTTCGTTTTGGTTTTGAAATTTCCATTTCCGTGCACCTCTAATTGCAACCTTTGATAAAGTTTTAAAGAAAAAAGTGCACATTTCAACAGCTTGACAGAAACGTTTCACAGGGCATCCACTTTTATTGGTCAGTTTGTTTAAAAAACAAAAAATTTGCAAGAAAACAAAGTACCGGGTAGCTGAAATGCCTAACAATAACAACTTAAACAAAGGTTTAAAATATAAGCAAAATTACAACTAGAGCTAACCATTGTGAACCTTCTTACTGCTGGAGTGTAATCTCTTCAGCCCTGATTCTGTGTTGGATTCAGTGGTTTTTAAAATAATAGCCACTTGCCTTGTCTGTTGTAATGCCCATTGCATGCCTTTTTTCTAGAGACCCTGTCACCAGACCATTCATTTCTGCAACAATCAGTGCACAAGGTTATATGTGCATTTAGCTTTTTTGGGGAGTTGTTTTGCTATAAAAGCCCCCCGTGTGTAGACATTCAAAAGCCCTGAGACTCCTGCTGGGCACCACCATCTTGAATGTGCTGTCGCCACTCTTGGAAAGCTCGGAGCTGTCAGTTATGTGCCTATAGTATGCCCCTTTGCTGCTCCCCCTGGCAGCTGCGTAAAAGGTTGTAGGGAGAAGCAGAAGAAGCTGGGTGAGCACAAAGCATAATCGGATGTTCCTAGAGAAGGAGTGTTCTATGATGTCCAAAGAGGGGGGTCTGCTGGGGAAAGAATTCCTGGAGAAGTTGCATTTGTAGTAGTTTCCAATATTTGTTGTCGGGAGTTGGTCTCTAACAGCCTCCTGTTTTTTTTTCTTTTTTTCTTTAGGGTTCAACCTGCCATCAGTGTCGTCAAAAGACCATTGACACCAAAACCAACTGCCGGAATCCAGAGTGCACAGGAGTGAGGGGCCAATTCTGTGGCCCCTGTCTAAAGAACCGCTATGGAGAAGATGTGAGGACAGCATTGCTGGATCCAGTGAGTACAATTGCCTATCAACATTGCACAATCATTTATGCACAGCACTGATTTTATTTTTCTTGCTTGTAAAGTAATTAGGATGCTATGACTTTGTAGTGTAGTTCTGTAAAAAAAAACAAACATTTTTTCTTCCAGGACTGGCACTGCCCACCATGTAGAGGAATCTGTAACTGCAGTTTCTGTAGACAGCGTAAAGGCCGTTGTGCCACTGGCGTGCTGGTTTACCTAGCAAAGTACCACGGGTATGACAATGTGCATGCATATCTGAACAGGTATGGTATATGGCAAGCTTGTAGATGCTAAAAGAAGTCATACGTGTGCCTGAGCAGAGACCTGAATTTATTTTTTGTCTTCACAGCTTGAAACGTGAGCTGGAACAGGAGGACTGAAGATGCTTTGGGTGTATATTGTGATTATGGCAGACAGCAAACTGATGAAACCTATTGTTGGCAGAAATGAATACTAAAAATCGGATATCTGGTGGTTGTTCAGTTAGGAAGAATAACTATACTTTGTTGAAAGACAAAAAAAAAATTATTTTCCTTTTCACAGATGCACTTACTTTGCACATTGAGGGCAAACTGTGCCTCCTGATAGCCCACCCAGCAAGGTATATCCCCAACTCACACTCCCTTATTGCTTCCACAATCCATTCAGAGCCCTTGTTCTATTGCATTAATGATGAAGGGGGTGTGTAGTGACGCTATCCACCTTCATAAGCTCACACTTTAATGTTTATCCAGGATAAACTTCTGTAGTGGGGAAAACATGAAGGGAGCATGGATTGGTGGTGGGCTATCAGGAGGAATTAGCACTTTGCCCTGGATGAAACCGGGGTCCTCATCTACTTTACACCCAATATGAGCAAGAAAGTATTATTTTCCTTTCTGATCCCATAACTCTGCCATGCGTTGAGGACCATTGCATATTCCATGCATTTTACCATGTATGCATATTTAATTAAATTAATAATTGGCTTTCACCTGCGTTGGGGATGGAGAAGCTGGGGTGTATGAGAGAAAGGGACAAAACTGTTTGATTAAAACGTGGGTGAATGGCAGGAGTCCTTAAGAATGAAAGGAATGTTTAACCTTCAAAATAGGTTTCAAAGAATACACTTGTTCGGTTTTAATGTATATAGATGTGTATATAAAAAGGGGCCATTTGACTTGAAAATGCATAGCTTTGTCTATTGGCTAGCTTACAGTCCAAATCATCTTACGATTTATGCAGGTTTCTTGCCTTTTATACATAGATTCAACTGTTGTTCCTAGGGTTTTGTTTTTTCATTGTTTTAATACAGCGGTACTGAAGCGGAAGGTTTTAAGTAAAAGTCGCTTGGGGAGTACTGCTGAAAGTGTTCCTGTTGTGTTGTAAGCATTTTTTATGAAGCTTCTGCAGAAAATATGTACCCAGGAAATTAAGATTTAAATTTTCTTGTAAGCATGTGTTCAAAAAAACATGCAAAATCGTAGGGTTTTTGTAGCTTTTGATGGAAGAATTCTTCAACTGTTTGAAGACCCATGCTCCCTACCAAATGGCTTTCTAAAAGTAATATGGTAAACTTTTGTACAAAGTGTTATATAGTTGTATATAAACAGAGTTTTTCTTTAACGATACTGTAGAAAAATATTCTTTAACCTGTTCCCTGTCTACATGAAGTATATACCAATCAGCCCCTTGCTCTTTTCTTGTAATGGAGGCTGGCTGACAACTAACACTACTTTGAAATAGTTCAGTGTATACTTCACATCAACCAATCGGGTTTTAAAAAAATACATTGTCTGCCCCGTGACAGCTGTCACTGTATTTACCTAAGCATGCCTGTCATCTAATGATACCGGAGGGAAGGCCTATATTAGCAATGAAGCATGTATAAATTCAATGTCAGTGCATGTGAGGCATCAATTCAACTCTTTTTGAGATGCAAAGGGAAACATGATATAAAGGACACCTGTACTAAGGGTAATATAGAGGAAGACATTTCCTTCTCTGAACACTAGTTGCCTGGCTGTCATGTGAGTTCCACAGCTTCAACATATTGAGTTACCGATATGAAGAAGCAATGCTTTAGAAGGTTTGATTTCTATATTCTGGATTGGTGAGTAAAGGTGTTGAGACCAGAGACTGCAGGCAACACCCAGGACAGGTTTCATTAAAATACCAAGTCCATATAAAACTGATATCTCGGCATTGGACAGATGTTGCTACAATCCAGCACGGCATGCTTTGGCTGTTTATACGAAGTGTTATGTTCTTACTAGTTATTTTTTGCATTAATGTAGAAATCTGCCCTTTGGGTATATAAACTGTGTAAATGCTGTGTGTGGGGTTTTTTTTCTTCGGTGTACAGTCTTCATTGTAAAGATTTCCTTGCTAAAGCCCTTCACGAGGGGGCTAAGGCGGTGCTAGAACATTAAGGAGATTTCCCGTAAGGAACACGAGGGGGGGGGTTTACACTTTCCCCGCTCTATCCAAGAGCCACAAACACTTTTTTGGCTGGAGTTGGCCGTTAAACAGTCGCTGTCATCTCGCTCTTAAGGTCAATTAACCATGTGTTTCTAAAGGCCCTCCAGACCATAGGTTACTCGCATTACCAGCAGTCCACAGTGCTCCTGCCTTTGTTGCTGCTAGTTGCCTGTGATTATAGGGTAGCATGTGACACCTGGGTAGGAGAGTGATGGCAGCACTTAGTCTAGCTTCCAACACAGGCCATACATTGGATTCCAGTGCCGGCTTCAGCAGGAGTGGTACAGGAGTGCCGGTAGTGTGAATATAGCAGGGGGTGCGTTGGAAGCGCTGTTACTTAGCCCTGAGTGGCCAAAATGACAGTGTCTCTTTAATCAAAATGTTTTAATCCGCAGTATAAATATTTAGCTGTAGTAAAGTGGGATAACTTGTATGACCCCAAATATCTGTAAATATAAACTGTTCATATATTGCTTGCTTATGATCTTGCTGGTTTAGAGAATTAGCTGCAAGTCTTTCAGTCTGCAGGAGAAGTTTATAAAGGTTTTACCTAATCTCCTAGTCCTAGATTTGGATAGATGCTGGAAGGTTAAATGAATATTCTAAGAATTGGATTTCTAAACCTTGATTTCAGTCGTCTGTTATATTTCAGTTATGATGAAAAGTGATACTTTGGGGACATCCTAGGAACTCTTAAGGGGATCCTATCACTGAAATCTCATGTTATATGAAAAACACACTGAAATATTGTATTTGGGTTTTCTTGGCCATTAATAGTTGTGTTTTTAAGTTCTCTATTTTTTTTACAATATGGAATGTTAAAAAAAACAAAAAACATTGAAATTTTGTAATATGCTGAACTAAATAAACAGTTTACCTTCTACATAAGGTGTCCTTTGTGTTACTTTACATTACATACAGATTGTATTTCTTTTTTCTCTCTGTTTAAAAATGTCTGCCCAGGAATAAGTCTTCCCTCCTGGAACATCTCCACGAACAGCTTCAAGCACACTGCTTTCTAAAGGTTTTGTCATAATCTATTTTCAGACTACATAATTAAAATGGAGACAAAACACTTACAGCTGGTTATGATTTGGATGCAGGATGATATATAAAAGGCATATAATATTCAAGTTGTTTAGATAATCACTGTTCCTGCAGAGCTTGAGTCTTAGCTGCTGTTGTTTATGTCTATGATTACATTTTTTATAGTTATTTAAACAGCTGCATACAAAGGGTATTAAATGTGGAGAATGACAATTGTTTGGAATTCAAGTGAACTTTCTTATTCTGTAAATTAGAGTGCAGTTACTGTGTCTGTGGTTAAAAAAGGTGCAGACTGTGCTGCAGTTATTCTAATATAATTTGGGGTGTATGCTTTTAACTTGAAAATTGACGCGTTGGAAAGTCTGAGTAAAGCAGATATCAAAACAAGTGCCACTTTTTTTTGGTATGGAAAATTAAAATTTCTTAATTGAAGAGGACACGGGACCATGGGTTATAATGCAGTACCTTCAGGTGATTAGATACTGGCAAAATAGTTGTAAGGGCAACCCCCATATAACTCCTCCCAGCAAGCCAGAGGTCCCTGGGTGATGACAAGCAAGGTCAGGCTATCTCTGGTATGATGGATTTTGGAGCTGGGGAATTCGGCTGGACCGCTCAAATGCAGGGTCATCCAACGATTGCAGTGGCCTACATAAACCATCTGGGAGGCACCAGAAGCTGTGCAGCTCTAAGAGATGCAGACCGGATTCTGGCTTGGGCAGTACTCCATGTTTGACCCTCACTATTGTGCACATAGAAAATTGGCAGGCAGACTTTCCCTATGTGATGAAGATTGCCTTCCTATTTGACATCATCTTAGTGAGACGTTTGAGTTGGTGGCTCTATCCAGTAAGGAACCCTTCCTAGTGTTGTACAATTCTAAAGCCTAGGACCTCTTTTTACCTCAAGGTGGTCTCTTGTCTTTCCATTTGCCCTGCTTTTAAAACATCCCAAGGAAATTTCTCTCCATTGTTGGCATGTTATGCATTCTGTGCAACTCTATCTCTCGGCTGGCTTCCTTTAGGAAATCAGACTCCCTCTATGTCCTGTCTTCCCTGCTGTCTCTTGTGTCACCATTGCAGGTGTATTAGACAAGTAATTAAGTAATTATTAGAGCCTATACACTAAAGGAGAAGACGCCCGCTTTCCTGTTTAAAGTGCATTCTATCAGATCTTTTAGTGCTTGAGCGCGCCCCCCCCCCCCCCCCTTCAATATTATGTC